ATGCGCTCCACCCATCGTGTGCGCCGCCCCCTCCCTCCCGTGTCATGTTTTGCCCATCCGACCGAGAAAGCCCGGCGCTGGTGGTGGTGGTGCTCAGAGTCGCCACTCGTCACCGGCTCCATCCCCGAGGCTAGAATCGACCGGCCACGACCTCCCATATGTTGCAAAACACATATTTCAAGTGTTTCAGATGTTTCACATGTATGTTGCAAGTATTTTATATGGATGTTGCAAAAGTAGATCGGGATGTTGCATATGTTATACACGTATGTTGCAAGCTTCAGTTTCAATGTTTCTTCTATTTTTTTAGACGTATGTTGCAAATGTGTTTATCTGCATGTTGCATAAGTTTCATACATATGTTGTGAGTGTTTTATCTGGATGTTTGCGTATGTTTACAATTGTTTCAAGTGTTTTGAGGTGTTTTTGCAAGTGTGTTTAAACACATGTGTTCAAGTGTTTTATGTCTTCCAGACGTATGTTGCAAGTGTTTGCATCTGAATATTTTAAAAGTAGATCGGTTGTTGCACCTCCATCCTCGTCTTCTGCTACCTCGCATCGGTGTCTCCTCCTCCCAACGCCGACTGAGCATCCGATATGACGCCACGGCCGGGGCACACCGCAAGTCCTTCCGAACCTGAAATGCAGGCGGGCGATGGACGTTCGGACGATGTGAGCCCTCGAAACGTCCGGGCGCTAACATTGCCGTTTTTTAAAAAAAAACTCCAAAACCAAATATCTTACCTCTAGCTAGTTCTAAAAAACATTTAAGCTATCTTGCTTCTCCGGATAGAAGTGACTTTCGATGTGGTTTTACCTTCCTTTAGTTAAAATTCAGGCCACCACAAATCCAGATAAATTATTTATAGCTCTTGAAAGTATTTCTAAAACTAAAAGCTTCCAACCAAAAGTTTTCATTTATATCTAAGAAAATAGAAAGAATATCAAGAAAATTCTCAAAACATTATAACAGAGGTATGTTGCATTCTTATTCTTTGCATCTTATATTTTTGTCACAGAAAGTTTTTAAATGTATTTAGATGTCAATTCAAATGATTTTAAATTTTATTTTAGCGGTCTTTTTTCACTTTTCTAGAGCTAAATCTAATTTTTCTAAGCTTCTAAAGATATTTTTCACGAGCTCTAAATGTTTTATTTGGTTTCATGTGTCCCAAGTTATCTTTTGATTTTTTTTGAAGTTTATAGACTTTTTTATTCATATTATAATGTAGATTGTTCCAACAGGTTGTTTTCCAGACTTAGGGCGAGTTTGGTGCACCTCATGGTAGCTCGGTTGTGCCTGGTGGGACACTGTAGGATCCTGTAGATCACTATGGCACGGGAGGAAATGGCTCTGGCTCCGCCTAGGCTCAGAGAGGAGCCGCCGGAGCTACCTGATTGTGGCTCTACTCGGCTCCGCCACAGTACTTGCACGGGGTGGGAGCCGGAGCCGGTCAGAGCCCCTCCAAACGGGCTCTTACTTGACCAAGAGAAGTAGAGAACCAAGGAGTCTAGAAAGCAATGAATCACATGGGAGAACATTGGATTTCATAGCCCACAACTTGAGCAATATTGCCCAGTGGTAGAACTTATTTCGTCCAAGCAATGAACCGCGTCATCCTTGAAAATTGTGGTCATCATTTGTCAAGTGGAGTCCATGTAATATAGCAGAAAAGAAATAGAAGTTGAAAATACACCCATTCAAAAAATAGTCATTTGAAAATAGAGTGTCATATTTAGAGAAGTCAGTAGAGCGGATAGAGAAGCAAAGAACCAATCTGAATATGGAGGCTTGCTATTCTAAGAAACAAAGTGTGGAATAACAATGTAGTTGCTCTTGTGTACTAAACTTCATAACAAATTCGGAATAAAATCAAATTGACCTAAGCCCGAGCCGGCAGTAGAGGACCCAAGACAAAATTATAGGTAGGATAGACTGCTAGGCACACGCGCAAGGTTAAACCCATATTTTAGCCAAAAACCACATACTAGCAACAATTACTGTATAATCTAATGCACAAGATGTTTACCTCTCACATGGAAAGCACATAAAGATGGTATGAAGCATTTAATTTGTTCCATAACCCACATAGTTCACTATACATCAAAAGATCAAAATACAAAAGAATAAACAACTTTAACAAGTGATAATTAAGTAACTATGTAACCTGTCCACGCACATAGTTCACCATGCATGTCTTGGTCTTCAATTCAAATCAAATCAAATCAATATACAATTGTGCAATTGACTAGTGAGCAATCCAATCCATTTTGGTACTCTCCTTTTTTGTGAAACACAAATCGACAAAATAACAAATCAAAGTTTCTCCTAACATAGCGTGCTTTTATACAGCTTCTTTGTAAGCTGAGGAAAGTAGCCGTGCTTAGCTGCTAGGGCTTAGGATTCGCTGTGCAGCGGGCCAGCGCCGACGCTGGAGCTGACGAACAGGAGAGGAGACGGACGGGCCGAACGGACAGCGATTCTCTATTGGGCTGGACTGCCGACTCTGCTCAACACATCATTTTGGGCCGGCCCATCTTCCCCTTTGCAGGGGGTGTCGTCGTCTACCTCCGTCAGTCTATCAGACGCAAGAAGCAGTTGCAGCGAAGCCGCGCCACCCGACCAAAATCCGCCGCCGGTGCCCAGAAGGCCATAACCCGACGGGAAACTCGGGGCTTTAGCTGCCGGCTGCCTCGAGATGCTCCCATGGGCGGCCACCGCGTCACCACCCAGCACTCCAGCCGCCGTCTCGTTTGCTCCTCCCCTCCGCGCCGCCGCTCCCCGCCCTCCACCGCCACTCTGGCGCCCGCTTCCGCGGATTCTGTGCGCGGGCCTCAAGCCCCCGCCGCGCGCCGCAGCTTCTGACGGCGATATCTTCTGGGAGGAGCCAGACGACGGCTCCGGGAGCGACTACGAGGACGACGGCCCGGAGCAAAGGAGGGCCTCGCGTTTCCCGTCTTCCTCGCCGTCCTCCAGGCTCGAGGCGGCGGCGCAGCAAGAACAGGACCTCCGGAGAGGTGTTAGTTGATTTAGGATTTATACCCACACAAATTCACTTCTTTGCTGCGTCTTGGTCTACTCTTTGAGAGACCATCCGCTCTACTTCTCTGTGTTCTACTACACTTGAATCTGCCACTAATTTTTTGTTTGGTTTGCCTAGAAATCGAGCTTCTCCTAACGCCTGAAGAAAAGGCTATCTTGGATCAGCACGAGACCCCTGACGTCACTATAATATCATCAGTTGAGCTCCTCCAGCTGTCTTAATTTCTAGGAACCATCTTTCTTTTGTGTATGATGATGCATTTCTCGATTTGCTGCTGAGAATTTGAGACATCTTATTCTGTAGGGCATCAAATGGATGCATTGATTTAACTGATGCTCTGAAATATTAGATGCTGAATCTAACTCTTGAATTGTTTGGTGCAGCCGAAGTGGCATCCACTTCACAGCTACGCGTTGGCACTGCAGATACCCCTCATGGACAAGCTTCTGGACAGTGGTGTTGACATCAACTTACTTGATAGAGTAAGTTACTCTTATGATTTTCATTTTTCTTTCGTATCCGAGAAACCCCACCTGGTAAAGCAGAGTTAACTACGCAAGTGTTGCTGATACATACAGGATGGCTTCACCTCTCTTCACAAGGCAGTCATAGGAAAAAAAGAGGCTGTCATTAGCCACCTCCTAAGAAAAGGGGCAAATCCCCATGTTAGAGATAGGGTAAGAGGGTACCTGGAATGATCCCTTCTTGTCAGTTGTTGTCCATGATTTCAAAAGGAGTTCAGTTGAGTTCAAGAAACTTCTTGAAGTAAAGTTAGCTGTTGTCATGTTGGTTTTGGTCCGTCGGGAACAAGAATGTGTTTCCTATATTGCTAGCCCTTGAATTAAGTCTGCTGATATGCAGGATGGAGCCACACCATTACATTATGCTGTTCAAGCTGGTGCCCTGCAAACCGTGAAGTTACTGATTAAGTACAAGGTTGATGTCAATGTTGCTGATAATGTAAGTCAAACGTGTACTTATTTTCATGTCATCTCAAGCCTGTTCAAGGACAGTGAATGTTCTCTTAAATAATATTTCCTTTCATGCAGGATGGATGGACACCACTTCATTTAGCCATACAGAGTAGAAACAGAGATATAGCAAAGGTCTTGCTTGTCAATGGCGCGGATAAGACAAGAAGAACCAAGGTATTGTTTCATATCTTTGCTGATGAGCAGTATACACCAAACAAATATTTTACTATGATCATTGGTGCCTTACATTTTCTGATGTTTCACAAAATAAGTAATAAGTTGCATGGCTTCCGTCTTCTGATATGATGATGTCAATTGGATAACTCTTCGCTCTTCCTGCTACAACTTGTTCTTCGAGCTATTTGAATGAATACTTTATGTTATCGTTATGTCTGAAATATTGTTTGGTTTCTTTGTGAACACATTACAGGATGGGAGGACTGCACTGGATCTAAGCTTATGCTTTGGAAGGGATTTCAAGCCATATGATCTTGCAAAGCTTGTCAAGCTTATTCCAGCAAATAGAGGAGTGTGATTTTGCTCTGCAACAAATTTCAGGGAAACAAAAGCCAAAAGTTAGCGTTATGTTTATACGAGCGAAGATGGCAACTTATAACGAGTTTCTATTGGTGTATTTAGAGTTCAGACTGAGCTGCATACACAGTGAGGGAAATGATCCTGGTGTCTGGCTCTATGCAATTAGGAACAGGTTTGCCAATCAATGTCAGTTTTCTGCAGCCATCCATACGGGTAGCTAAAACAGAGGAATATTGTTTTGGTAAACTCAACAAAATCGTCTTGGTAAACTCTCTTAAAGCTGAACAAAATAATTGAGTCTGTAGAACCTTGCAAAGCAATATTGCAATATTTAGTATCAAGTACTATTCCTTCATCAACAACAATTGCTAAAAAATGTATAAAAATGACAAAGACATGTAACACAATCTCAGGAAGTACACTACGAGCTAATAACCTAAGCGATTTATTCTTCTTGTAAGGAGATCCGCCTGAAGATGGCATGGAAAGTTTGTCCTCCATTTCTGGCGACCTTCTGGCTTTCTTCAGTGGCAGTAGACAGCAATTTGAAAACTGGGTCAGCTTTAATCTCTTCTTCAATGACAGTTTCAAATAATGGGTGTTTCTCTAGACACGATCGCATCCACTCTCCAAGTTCCTCGACATCAGTGATGGTATATATGATTCCGCCCACTTTCATCACATAAGCATACTCATCTAACAACTGCATGCTGATAACCCTCCTTCGGTGGTTCTTCTCCTTGAAGTGAGGATCAGGGAACAGGAAGAACATCTTGGTGAGCTGAGCCTTCCTGAAGTAATTTGGAATATATTTCATAGAGTTCGTGCGGACAACAGATATGTTGTCATACTGCCCTGGGTTTGCCGCTCTTAGAGCTAAAATCCTCTCTTTCACATACTCAGTTACCTGTACCAGAATAAGTGGCAGGCAAAATAAGTGAATTCAGATATTTCACAATGAATCCTAAACTAGGCTATTTGAAATTTTGAATAAAATAACTTTCTGAAACCACATCATTTTCTAAGAAGAAATCCAAGCCTGTTACACTAGACTAAATTTTAAGCATGCATTTACAGCGAAGCTGAAGCAAATATTAATTCCGTAAGAAAGAAAGTTGGTGTAGCACAATAGTACTAATTTCATATCAGAAACCTAACTGGGATGTTTTACAGATTATTGGCACATACACTCACAATGTTACATGATAAGCACATGGTCAAATTTGATTTTTCTTCTTAATGCAATGCCGGAGTCTTTCCCCTGTAGGTCGAATTTTTTTGGTCAATTTGATTTTTCCCAAAAATTTAACATTGTTTTATTTACAAACCATGCCAAATGCATTGTTTATCTTCATACTACCGGAACAGTCTACAGGGCGTCCAGGCAAATCAAGGAAAAAATAAAAGGCAAAATAATGAGAGTAATTACCTTGTCCCTCAGCTCCATGCCAATCATCGCGTGATCCCTTCTTGTATGACCGCAAATCCAGGAAGAGAGGTGAGACACCCCTGAACGAGCAACCCAGTCAAATCCGCACCCCATAGCGAGTCTAATCGCCGTCCTATAAAAGCGGACGGAGATACTTGCCGCCACTTCATGATTCTATGGCTAACATCTTCATCAATATGCTGCACACTACTTGACCTTCCAAACTAATATCTTCCTCTCCCGAGTAGTAGTCGAAGTTGCCCTTACAAACCATGCCAAATGCATTGGGAAGTACAGGTAGGCGTCCAAGCAAATCAAGGAAAAGGTCACTGTTCGGTTGGGTTGGTTCGTGAAGAAATCTTTCTTTTCATTTGGTTTGTGTGTGAGAAAAATACTTTATTAATTTGAAATTTACGATCATTCGACAAGCCGTACCAAAGAATAGGAATGAGAGTAATTACCTTGTCCCTCGGCTCCATGCCAATCATGATGTCCGAAGAGAGGGACCCACCAAAGTGCACCCCAATCGCTGAGTGGGTTGTTGTGCGCGTCATTGCCCTTGTCGTGAGGAAGTAGAGTAAGCTTTGTGAGAGGTCGAAGCTTCCCACCACCGCTAGAGTGGGTTGCGTTTGTCGAGGAAGCTTCCCACCACCGCTAGTGCCGCTTGTCGTCATCAGGCTAACAAGCAAGGGAGTTAAATAATTAAAGGCTAGAAAAATAATGCTACAATTAACTAATGATATAATATATGTAATAATGAAATCAACTATATATCAGATTAAATGCTCAAGGAACATCCGAACAGCTTTGTGGGTAGAAAATACCAAATAAAGTTGATAATCAACAGATCATACATGTCATCACAGTTACTGCCACTTTGGCCACTATATAAGATTCTACATTAAAATTTTAAAAGTGTAATAGCATTTGACATAAACAAGATTATTTCAAACAACAGACATTGTTCTAGTGGCAAGTCATTTTCAGATACAATTCAGGAAAAATACATGGCTCAAAACCTAGGTAAATTCCTGTTACCAAAACATTTCAGTAAAAGATGCAGATGCCCCATTGGTAAATTTCTGGTCGGTACTGTTTTCTCGTTGAATTAGTTGGTGCCATGTGGACCCATTGAAACAACCATGAGTTAGACAAGCAATTCTCCATGCAGAGAAAAGTTAATCTCATGTTATCCACAAGTACCATTCGAAATTAAAAGGGCTAAAGGAGCACCAAGCCACCAATGAGGTTTTCTTGCAGCACTTTCATCTGTGTTGGATAGCCCTGTTAATGGGGTCAAACCTTGGCCCACCCCAACCCACCGCTCGTGAACATCTTCTGCCAACCCAACCCCACCCAATAATTTAATTAGCGAACCCACCCCACCAGTTTTGGGTTAAACACGACCATAACCAAAGCCTATTGGTAGCTGAATTCTGGCCGAGAATAGCACTCATGTCCAGATGATACATGAATACATTTGTCAGAACCCAATACTATCACTCAGCAAGGACAAATTGCATGTCAGAATAAATTATGCATGTGTATACATATATCTAGGCAGGATTGTCAGTCTGTCAATAATTACTGAACAAAAGATAAATTGATAAGATGAACAGAGATACAAGTCATAGCATAATGACAATACAGATTGAGAAATTTTGAACAAAAATAAGGAGTTCCCTTGGGAGATCAGACAGTGCAAAGAAAAAATAAAGGAGACGCACAGTTACCAAATGGAGGGAAAGATAATACATTAGTAAGCGTCACGACAATAACATATTAGTTCAGACCTTGTATGGCTAAAAAATGAAGATACCCAATACAGACACATTTGGTACATGTACAATGCACACAACACCAAGTGTGGCACTGAACTGGACTCATATCACCACTTCAGGTTTACAGTTCTTGTTGAATAAGTGACTCAAAATATCATGCAGTTGTATTATCACAACAAATGCCCCATCTTAGTGAACCACGCATTGACTGAAAACATTATGTTTTGGTCAAAACATGGATAAAAACATACGGTGAAGTGAAACCACAAAATTAAGGATGCTTGGCATCTAAAATTCTAACAGTGTTATGTTTCTAAACAGGGAGAGTAGCAAAAACCAGTACAATGTTTTCAGTTCAAACTAGTAACTGAAAAAAAGAATCGTCAAGTAAATTGCACAGAACGCTACTCCTCTTCAGTTCAAGCTGGAGGCATGATTGGCACGAGGAAAATGACCCACAGTGGCACAGACAACAACCAACAGTTTTACACTAAAGAGTTTGGCAAAATCAATGAAAAATTGCTACAGAACATACTTTCAGAAGCACAGGAAAACAATGTAATGGGAGGAAAAATATCCAATCCAACCAATTAAAAGTGTAATCGAAGTATTCTTAAAACGGCTAGGAACTGACTTTCTCCGGGATGACCCTCCTCTCGGCTTTCCCAACAATGGCCTGTAGTACAATAAAGGCCCTAATGAGAACAGCAGCAGCAGCAGCGGACCCAGTACTATGCTACACTTGTAATTGGCAGATCAGATCCGAATACAAATAGCTTGGGCTTGGGTGGTCGGTTTCGCAAAACAGGAACGGAAGAGAAGGGATGGGCGTACCTGGTGGGTGCTCGTCGCCGGCGAAGGTCCCGAAGATGGAGAGACCTGGGAAACTAGCTGGTGGTGTAGGGTGCCGGCGGCCGCCCACACGGGAGAAGCAATGCCCGAGGGTTTGGGCGTGGCCGGGTGGGCTGGGTGAGGCGGGCCGGAGGGTTGGGGTGGGAATGGGCCGGCGGATTGTTGGCCTGGCTCAACAAATCAAGGCGGACGCAGGTGGTCTCCAAAATGACAATGGACCGAACAAAGTTACTGTACAGCCGCAGCCGCAGCTGCTGAAATAACGCCAGCCGAACAAACATAATTTGATAGTGACTTGTAGTATGTGTATATGTTTGGAAGTAAATCGAGTAGTATCATATTATTTTAGAGGTGAAAATAGGTAAAACTAGAATTATGGTTCACTTCTTAACTTATTTTATCTGATGCACTCCATAATATTCTTAATGTGTTATCATGATTCTTTTAATCTTGTACTCCCTCCGTCAACAAAGAATGCAATTATGAGAACTGTGCCGGTCAAACTAGCTTAAATTTGATAAAGTTTATAGTAAACAATATTAGCATTTATGCTTTCAAATAAATTTATTATAAAAATATATTCTATAACTAATCTAATGGTACTTATTTTGTTTCATGAGTGTTAGCACTTTTTCATATAATTTTAGTCAAATTTTAAGCTATCTCCTCGAAATACGAGAAATGCATTCTTTCGTGGACAGAGGTAGTACTTTATATTTCTATGCAGTGATACCATAGCCTTTTAATTTAAATGGGGTCGAGCCTTGCCCTTTGAAATTTGCCTTGAGGCTACAGAGCCAGGACCAGGCCGGTCCGTTCACATTCCTACCGTAGGGTAAAGGTTCGAGCCACCTCAAAACATAATCAAGTGTTAGGTCGGTTAAAAACAACCCTCCAATGTTCAACAACGGTCTGGATTCAATCTGAACTTGATGCCGAGCTAGTCTTTTTTTGTCCACATTTATCCGACGGACGTGTCAGCTCAATTCGGGCTCTACCTTAGGTTAGGTCTAGGTTTTCCACGTTGGGTCTGAAAATTTTCGGATTGGATTAGGTTCTAGACCAAAACTCACACACACACTGCGTGGTTGTCATGGGTCCAATAAAAATAATGGCTCACATGATACGCTAGGATCATGTAGACATTTTCTCCCATTTTCTACACCTATTGTTATTTGTTGGCCCTAGTTTCTGAAATGCAACTTTAATGCAAGTTAGTTAATAATGTTAACTTTGGTGTATCTTTGAAGCATTTAACAGAGTGTTGACTTAACCTATTAGTAGTAGAAGAGGTGAGGTGTATATTTTCTTGGATGATGTTGACTACCTTGCATTCAAACATATCCATTGTATTCATCTCATCCGATGCATCCGATTGCATAAGCACAACTCGGCAAGGCATCGGGCCATCGCAACATTGCCTCTCTAACACATGTAGGGATGGCAACGGGTTACTTTAATTGATGCAAACTTCGGAGTTGTTTGCAACCATTCTTTGCATTATACCTTGGGGAAGAACACATATCCTTGTTCCCCACTAGGGTTAGAACACCCGTCGGGTGATTTTCACCGCGAGCTATAGGTGGTTACTGGATATGCTTGGATGACTATGAAGTTGTGTCGGGTCTCAAATTCACCGATGCCCTTACATTAGTGGCGGATAAAGTACCCTGGGAGATTTACATTGAGTAGATGAGTGATGGCCACGTGGGTAATGGGTACCATCGAGATGATAAGGTGACCCATCCCCACTTAACAATAGAATTACACACCATGATTCAACAAGACAACAACATAAGTTCACAAAGCTAACATCATCGAAATTCGAATGATCATGCAAGTATGCAAGCAAGCGTTACAACTTACATGTCCTCAATTATGGAAGTTGTTTAATGATCAAAGTGGTTAATGATCAACTAAGAGTTCATGACATAAGAATTGACAATAATTAACTAAGAGTTCATGACACTAAATTAATTGAAATGCTAGAATTGCAAAGTGTTGGACACATTTGGAGCTCATGATGCATCCTTCACTTCCTTGCTCATAATAGGGCCATGTCAATGTAGAAGTTTCTGCATAAGATGTGATAGTTAGTATACAATGTAATTGAATATCCGACAATGAAAAGGTTAACACATTACACATCACTGCATCTCTTGAAGATGATTTTCTTCAAAAGGTCTCTATTACAATGCTTATCGACATCTTGTACCCTCCGTCAACAACAAAAGAAGCATTATGAAAGTAGATTTACAACAATTGTTAGAAAACAAGATTAGAAAATATTGAAATGAAATATATAGAACAGAATATATACCTATATACTTATGACGCATCCCATCTTGTGAACACACATAAGTGCCTCATTTGCCTTGAGGCTACAGAGCGAGGACCATGCCGGTCCGTTCACATTCCTACAGTAGGGTAAAAGGTTGAGCCAAACCTCTCTGTCGACTCAATTCGGGCTCTACCTTAGGTTAGGTCTAGGTTTTCCACGTTGGGAGTAACAGTCGCGTGGTTGTCGTGCAATAAAATAATGGCTCACACATGATACGCTAGGATCATGTAGACATTTTCTGCTCACTAAGAACTCGGCAAGCAGCCAGCCATCGCAAAGATCGCCTCTCTAACACATGTAGGGATGGCAACAGGGACGGATACCCATCGGGTGACCCATCCCACTTAACAATTGAATTACACACCATGATTCAAAAAAGTTCACAAAGCTAACACTCATCAGATGATGTAAGAGTTCATGACACAATAATTAACTAAGAGTTGGAATAACAAATATGTCACATGCTATCTTACTCAACATAATAGGGCCATGTCAAAGTAGAAGTTTCTTCATAAGATGTGATAGTTGTATACAATGTAATTGAATATCGACAATGAAAAGGTTAACGCTTACACATCACTGCATCTCTTGAAGATGACTTGCATGGTAGCATCCGAAATGTGCAACAATTGTTGGTATAGAAAAAATCTTAAAAAATATGGCTCATATGTCTAATATGTTTTCTCATCGTGTTGCTACG